ATTTATTTATTTATTTATTTATTTATTTATTTATTTATTTATTTATTTATTTATTTATTTATTTATTTATTTATTTTTAAGAACTGCATTTCCTGGCTTTTTAAAATGGGAGTCTAAATGTACATTCACTAAACACAGATTTGGAGCTTTAATGAATATACAAAGAATCGGTAATAGAGATTTAGGCTTACGATAATCTTAAAATGATATTATTTTCGTGCACTATTTCATGCAGAACATCCAACATCACTGGGAAATTCAGCATCACTATTCCAATCATAATAATTCTACCATTTTTACATTCACTATTATCATCTATATAGTGCTATCCATGTGTTTATTATCTTTCAAAGTACAAGAAGGCAAGCAGGTTGCCATACTGGCCGAAATATCCTGGAGCTACAGTTTTTTTAAAAGCAACTTTTCCAGATCTGACCCAAGTTGAGCTTCCTAACTCTCACCCTAAACTCAGCTGGCACAGTAATTCTTACTTATCCTAGCCAATTCAGCAACAGAAGCCAGTGAGACTGGAAAGGTCCCTCCACCCGAATTGTTAACCCACCCCGGGGGCTGATCGAACTCCGAGGCACTTCCCTTCTTATGTAGGACTTCCTGCCCCCCCCCATAGCCACATTTGGAGAAAAGTTGTTCATGGCCCCATTCTTGCTCTGTTCCAAACAGAGAATAAATTAAACAGAATTAGGCCAGGACACCAGGGCCCCTGCCTCCCAGAAGAAAGAATGTATGCACTAACGAGATTCTCCTCGACTCTTTCTTTCAGCCGGTGTTTGGTGGTGGCAGTCGCTCGCGTTGGCTCTTACCTCAGCTGCTTGGCGGCAGAGAACTCCTCAGAGGTGATGTGCTTCAGAAAATCGAAGCAGAAAAAGAAAATCTAGAGCGCAGAAAAAAGAAGGGAAGGAAGGGAAGGAAGGAAAGAAAAGGGGTGGGAGGGAAGGGAGGATGATTAAAAGAGAACAGGGCAAAAGGGGGCAGGTACTGTACCAGCAAATGTGCACTACTTCTTTGTCCATCTCCTTCATCTCTGCAGAGTGCAAGCTGAGGAGAGACGGGGGGGGGCTACCACCACAAAATTCTCATAAGAGCCCCTCATTATTCAAGCTTTCTGGAACTCCTGGGAACGCGAATTCCCACTGGCCAAAGCAGGGCAACAAACATAAGATGATAAATGCCACCCATACCCTAAATGCTGCCAATAACAGAAGGATACCTGCACCTAGCCCAGCCAAGATGCCAAACCAAACACGGAATAGAGAGTCCAGAAACTTTCATGGCCCCAAAAATCACTCTGGCATTTTGCAATATAAAAAAGGACAAGGAATGGAGCATGATAAAGATGATGGGGCTATTAGGCTGGCAGGTCCACATTGGATGACCCAGGCAGCCAGTTTCGATAGTAAGAAAATCACACAACATGCACAGATTCTGAGTCAAATTCAGAAATGTAAGATTTAAACTCACAAATACCTAAGCAGGGATTGGCCTTCTAAGTATTTTGTAGTGCCCGGCGCTCATCGAGCAGTATATAAAGCTATTAAATAAATATATAAATACTTATATTTATATATTTAATAAATATTTATTATATTTAATAAATATTATATATAATATAATCAATAAAATATTATATATTTAATAAATATTTATTAAATAAATATATCAATACTACTGACGTTGTCCCCCCTCAGTTATGAGTAGATAGGAACTGAAGGCTCAAAATGCAATACTGCCCCACCCCACACATTTAAAGCATAACTTTGCCCCATCTGGGGTGGGGTGTGTAGAGTTAGCAACCCATAAAGAATAACATAATCACACACACAAAAAAGGGAATGTTCATGTAAGCCACACAAGCAGACAAACCGAATTAGAAACACCTCTAGAGCTGGGGCAGTTGGCCCCCTCTTCTTTTACAGCAGGCAGAACCCAGAGGCCTGGTTATGGCCCACATTCAGGCTTGCAGACGTGCCTCCTGTTATGTAGGCAAAACGTGGAACCAGAGCTTGCTTCTAACTCTCTGGCCACAATGGCTGGGAGTTTCTGAGAATTTTCACATCAAAACTCTCTTTTAATTTCTGGGCAGAAGCACATCAAGGCTATAGTAGGAAAGCATATAATGATAATTTGGCTATTCGTCATGACAGCTAATTAGAAGCCCACCCCCTCCCCACCTCTTTTGCCAGTTCAATCCAAGCTCGGCTTATTCACCCCCCAGGGGAATCCAGAGGCAAACTGCTGGACTGATGGATTTCATCTGACAGGGCAAATTTTACTCTTAGGAGATGGGAAGAAATGTGCATTTAAGAAACAGTTGCTCGTGTCTTTGGATTTGTGGCATACTTGCTGAAAACAGACGGCTGATATATAACTGATGGCTCAATGAGAGGCAGATAGAGAGCGCCCTGCAAGTAGCCATCAAGGACCAGGAATGTTGCCTATCTTCTGCAACCCTCCAGAACGGCACCTGCCTAGGAGTATGGCTTTAGTGTCCCATATAATTTAGTCTTTGCTAAGGCTAGCATTCTTGCTAGGCTCCCTCACGCCTACTGCCTCCTACCCAAATCCCTGCAAGGTACCTAGTGGGGGGAAAAAACACCCTGATAGCAGAAGTTAATTATTCACAGGAGGGATTTTTGGCACTCATTAGCCATGTCAGCTAAAAGAGAACTGTTATTTACAGAGGCAATATATACTACTGAAGATCTGCTGTCGGGAGGCGGCAGGAGAGATAGAGTATCATGACCTTTGTGACTTGCTTTGGGGCCTCCTAGAAGCATCTGTCTGGCCAAGATGGGAGAGCAACAGGATGTCTGGTTGGATCCAACAAACCAGATGTTCCATCTCCTTAGAATAAGATCTGGATAATTTTGCACTTATTCTACCCCATCTGTGAGGTGTATATGACATCTGCAACCTTTGACTTTTTCCCTCCCAAAAAAAAGGTAGGATCCACAGATGATGGAGCCCAAATCTCACTGCAGTTTGACACTACACCCAAGTTGCCTCACCTCCTCTCCTTTACTTAGCCGATCCACTAACATGTGCCTGCAAAAGAAAAAAGAAGGTCTGGTATCAGACAAGTTACTTCCACGTACTGCTGGCGAGCCAACCCCTTGAAGGATTCTTAGAATTATATCTGGGATTGTAGCAGTGGCTCCCAACCTTGAGCAGCCCGGGTGGTTCTTGGGCTGCAACTCCCAGAAACCCCGGCCAGCACAGCGGCTGGTGAAGGCTTCTAGGAATCGCAGTCCAGGAACACCTGGGTTACCCAAGGTTTCAAACCACTCTGTTATAAGAATTATAACTGATCTCTACCGGTGGGAAACACATCCACCTCTGAGGAGTGCGGAACAACTAAAGGCACCAAAGCCTCCAGAGAGAGAGAGAGAGAGAGAGAGAGAGAGAGAGAGAAAGAGAACATCTGGAGACAGCTTTAGACCACAAGCTATGCAGTCCAGTCCCCGGGCCAAAGGATCTTAACCAAGCAGCATTGACTCTGCAGAGGATTCCCTGCTCTCCACACATACCCTGCTATACAATTCCCGAGACACTGCAGCAGCCTGTTCTGAAAAGGTCAGAGCTGTGAGTGACAGCTTTAAATGATGTTTTCCCGCACGTGGTTTTAGAAGAGGGTCAGAAATAGCCCTCTCTCCTGATGTCAGTGTTGAATCCATTGTCCTGACCCACAAAACCACATTCGCAGCAGTAGCAGCCACCCTCCCCGGCACCTCTCCTACGGGCAAAGATCTCCATTCATTCATCTACAAAAGATGTGACTGGCGTTTGGGAAGGCACATTTGGAAGATGGACCCAAATTCATATTAAGGAAGACTGACTTCACTAGAATTGGAAAGGGTTCTACCCCTCCTGCTTCTGCTGAGGCAGGCCCAGCCCTTTCAAAAGCCTACCCAAAGAGGAACCAATCGTAGGCCACCGTCAGGTAGAGAATCTCTGCAGGTTCCAGGGATCGGTGGATCAGCCCATCCTAAGGAAGGAAAGGTGACTGATAAATAACATGCAAAGAAATGGCTCTTTGCCCTTTGCTTTCTACTCTGTTACACAGATCAGAGCCCCCACCCAACCACCCAGCATTGCCATCTTAGACACTCTGACTTGATAACTGGAAAACAAATATGTTCCTTGGATCAATACAAAGAAAATTAACGAGGGCAATCATTATTTCAAGCTATGTGCAGCACATAACCTGGACACGGAAATCATCCCATCTCCAATTGGAAGCTTCTGGTCATTAATGTCTGGTGAAACTGCAATTTTTGCAAACAATGTGGGATCTAGTTCACACTTCCAAGTTTTTAAGTAGCTGCCCGTCTGCATCATTTCACAGCTTCTCAGCCCTCCATGCAATCTCTCTTATCATCCCACAGCTTTTTCCTGCCGTCACTCTTCCCTACTTTCTTGACATGACATGACAGCCCTTACTATCTTTCCTATCCCACTAATGTAAGCTAGGCAAGCAGGCAGAAGAGAATCGCTGCAAGATGTATTTGTTGCGAGAAGATGTGAGGAGAATGTATTCTCACTGCAGAACAGGAAATGCTGAGCTACACGCTTCATTCTAGTTCAGAGGAGTCTTGGAATTTGCATGGCCTACAGGTGGACTCCCAATTCAGGAAGAAGATGGAGAAATACATACAGAGTAAACAAGTCAGGCACATGGTCTCAACCAGAGATAGCACTATGTGCCACAGGTCCGATGCAAAGGCCAAAATCTAATTGCATCGAGCCACACCACACAGGGCTGATGATATCATCAACCACAGTCTTTTATTGTTAATTAGGAATTTCTGCCCCTTTCCCCCATCTGTCCCAGGTTCTGTGGCTCCTGGAGGGGAAAGGAATTGGAAACTTTTAATTAGGTATAAAAGGCTATGGCTCATGACATCATATTCCCTGCACAGCATTAACTTTGGACTAATCCAATTGTGAGACGCCACTAGAGTCAATCATCTGAATCAATGGGGACTTGGCAAGTCAAGAGGTATGCAAGTTTCCATTATTCAAATGATCTGCTATAAAGGAGACAGCAGTAAGATTTCAAGTCCCACTCAGAAAGAAAGAAAGAAAGAAAGAAAGAAAGAAAGAAAGAAAGAAAGAAAGAAAGAAAGAAAGAAAGAAAGAAAGAAAGAAAGAAAGAAAGAAAGAATCTATCTATCTCTATCCTTACATAATACATAATCAAAGAACTGGGCAACTATTTTTTTGAGCTTGTCTTTAGAAGAAAAGAAAGGGGAAAAATCCATTTTATAGATAACATATACAAATGAAATTAAGTTCTGTTTTCTCTCATTTTCTACTAAACTAACACAAATATGAAAATCTCAAGATAACCAAGCAGCTTGCCACTCATCCTAAGATCCCAACCCTGTCAAGAACCAGATTGTGCTGCAAAATGACCACCTGCAATAAAAGAATACAGTAGTAACTGGCATATCTCTGGCATTCCTCTCTCAGGTATATACAGAAATTATACTCTGTAACTTTTCTAAGCAGGTAGCTGTGATTCTCTTAATGCACAGTCTATACACTAGTTCATACAATAAGCTATTGTTAGGAATGAATGTGGAGAAATAGATTGGTTTCCCATAGGCAAAGAGGTCAGGCAAGATTATTTTTTTTTCTCTGTGCTTGTTCAATCTGTATGCCAATCATATCAAACTGGATTAGATTCAGAGGAAGGAGAAATGCAACATGATGGAAGAAACGACAATAATTCAAGATACACAGATGACTCCATCTTACTGGCAGAAAGCAACAATTACTTGGAATGACTCCTGATGAAAGTGAAAGAGACAAGTTGTCAAAGTAGGGTTGCAGTTGAACATTAAGATAAAAATCATGACCACAGAAAACTACATAGCTTTAAAGTGGACAATGAGAAAAACTGATATTGTTAAAGATCTGGTATATCCTTAATTCAACCAACAAATCAAATGAAGACTGCAGTCAAGAAACTGAGAAGACGAATGAGAGTCAAAAGGGCAGCAACAAAGGAACTAGGAAAGATCACGAAGTGTAAGGATGTACTGTACCACTTAAGTCCAAGGCCTAGAACATCCACACTATTATATTTCCAGTTATTATGTACGGATGTGAAAGCTGGACAGTGAAGAAAGCCGACAGGAAAAAATATAAATTATTGAAAATATGGTGCTGAAGCTGACAGGAAAAAAATATAAATTCATTGAAAATATGGTGCTGGTTTTGCAGATACCTTGGACTGCCAGAAAGATGAATAAATGGGTCAAAGTCAAATCAAGCTTGAATTCTTTCTAGAAGCAAAAATGACAAAACTGAGGTGGTCATATTTAGGGCACAACATGAGAAAACAAAATTCACCAGAAAAGCTAGGAAAACCTGAAGGAAGAACTAAAAGAGGAAGATTAAATATGGGATGGATTGACTCCATCAACGAAGCCACAGTCTTGAGAGCTAAGTGGGGCTCTTTAATGAAGTGATTTGGAAATCACTCCTTCCTAGGGTTGCCACAAGTCAGAGGCAACTTGACAACACAAAAAGATGCAAAACCAAGGAAGAGTCTTGCCCGGCTAGTTTGATTTGGCACCAGATTTTGTGAACTATACACCATTTCTTCAGATGCACAGTGTAGTCTCAGTAGACTGACATTTGTACAGGAATGGGGAGAGTAGGAGCATGAAATTTCATGGAAATGCACAAGATCCAGCATGGTGGTGGTTGATCAGAGCGCCTTAGAATTCACTAATAGTTCTCGGGACTGACAGAGATCTAAATGGTGGTTATAAGGAGTTGTCTCAAGGTGGGTGAAAAGCAGAGACAAGCAGCTTAACATCTGTGAAGATGAGAAAAGTCTTTAAGTCCAGTGTAATGGAAAGAGTGTGATGCACAGTTACAGCGGGTTCAGCATTAGTAGACAGAACAGGAATCCAAAATTTCAAGTAGAGAAAATTATCTGAACAGTTACGTGAAACATGCAACAGCTGGGTAGTGACAGAGACAAATTCATATGGATGAGCTGATTAATATACACAATGAAATAAAAAGCTCTGATCCCTGTTCAAGCCAAGTGGGACTGGACTGAATCACTTGATGCAGTCTCCGACTTCAAAGATTTTTTTATTCAAGGAAGGTCACCCTGAGGTCAGAGACAAGAGTGTCCGGAGAGACTGAAGTGTTCCTCCACTCATTTCTGAGCACTTCTGCTTCTATAATTTTATCCATGCCTTTTTATTCTTATGCAGGAAGATTGACCTGTTTGTCCTGTGTAAAATGCTGCGAGGCATTACTGGCAAATACAGATAAAAGAAATAAGAGTAGAACTATGTGAGTGGCTTTGAATTAATCTAAAAGCCCGAAGCTCTGGGCAGGGAGGGAAGGAATCATGTTTTCACTTCTAAGGATGCAAAATGCAGTGAAGGGAGGATGCAGTAAGTGTCAGCATGCTGGCTGTGGATTTTGGTAGTGGTAGTCCAAAAAACAATAACAACAAAGCAAGGTTTCTCATCTCTGGTTTTAATTTCAATGCAATTGAAAGTTCTCCTCTTTCTCTTCCCTTACACCTACCATTTCTAAAACAAGATCCATTATCCCTTACCCCCTCTATTTTTCCCTAGCGAAAAACAAAATGGCCTCCCTTCTGAAAGCTGATGCCCTTTCAAAACTTATCAAGTGATACAGAATACATCAGTAATTTTTAAAACAGAACTTATTTCTTCTGCTAACAGAATTCAGGAGGCTTCAAAAACACACATACACACAATCTTTTGAAGCATCATCCTCACCAATCTGGTCTGAGGAGGGGAAAGGACCCACTTCCCACACCCATCTTCCCCCTCCCATGGGTCTCTCTTGCTTCAGATACACCACTTGTGTCTGGCACAGGCTAGGCATGGCGCCCATTGGTACTCACAGCCCAGAGGGAGAGGCGCAGGAGGGAAATGAAGAGTGGCGTCCTGTCCCAGCCGGATATACAGTGCACCAGGAGCCCGCTGTCATCTGTGCTGAGTCGGCAGGAAGGCAAAGCAAAAGCGGAAGGGGAGGGAGGGGAACGGTGTTACTTGTATGGCATTTATGATGAAAAAAATCTGAGGGAACTCAGGCCTCCATCGGTCCCCGGGAAGCCCAGTGGCATACGCTGGGCCAGGAGCACAAAGCAGAGCATGCTCCAAGGACAGTCTCTCTCTGCAAAGCAGAGGAGATAAAAGGCAGTACCAAGCAGGAAAGGAATGGCTACAAAAAGGTACACAATGGGGAAATCTTATCTCATCATCTATCTTGGTAAGAATATATTTCAGCTAAAGAATTACTGTCCATCTCTCAAAGACTGGAAGTAACTACTTTTATGCTTCTTACTTTTAATTAGTATTAGAAACCATCTTTATGTAAGAACCATGGTATAACTACATTGTGTTGTGGATTATTAGTTACTGAGGGATAACACTTTCTGCAGTGTAAAAGTAACTCTTTTTTTTTGTAGTTATGAGAGAGAGACCTGGCTAAAAAGGTGGCAGAGGAATATCATATGGTCCAAGTGCTAGCTCACACTGCTAAACAGATCAAGCCTGGATGGTCTCAACCAGGCAACCTGTACCCAGTTCCCCACAGTTTTAGATGCAAAGGCAGGATGGCTGGCCCTTCATCACAGAATGGTAATGGAACTGGAAAGCAGAAGGGAAGCTCTCTCTGGCTGCTGCCAGCAATTAGGGACTTAGGGCTAGTTGGAGGCTGTGACCCTGGCTGCCCAAAAGTACCAGCAAGAAAACTGGGAACTCGGTTTGGTCCATCCACTGGTAAGCAGAGGAGCAGCTGTAGGGAGATTACTGTTTTTCCATCCCCATCAAGAAAACTCAGGTCCTCCAAATAGTTACAGGTTTGGGAATGCAAAAGCAAGATCTTGGTAGTATCATTTTTGAAAGCGACAACTCCAGAATCCCACCACCACGCTGGACAGGGGATTCCGGGAATTATATTCCAAAAAGATAAGTTCTCCAACTCTTGTAAAAACACTTCACCCTTCCCAAAAACAAAACAACAAGGAATATCCATTGTTATTTGGGGGGGGGGGGAGAAGACCCACCCATAAAAGAAAACCAGCCTGGCCTGAACAAGGTGTAAAAGCCTGTTTTTATTTTACAACCGCATTTTCAATGCAAAACTCTCCTCCTTCCTTTCACCTCCATTCTCCTTCACTCAGGGAACCTGGAAGGTGCCTCTTGGCAGGGCCATTAAAAAACAACAACAATGGAGATAAACCAACTCTGCAAGATCACAGCTGCTTTTAAGCAGAATAAAGCAGTTCAAACAAATCCTTGCTGGGTACAACTATGGAGCTCCTTTCCACTACTCTCAGGAAATCCACCACAATCTGAGCCTCAGTGTTTTATCCAAGTAGATGCTTCTTCTGGTCTGGACTAAATGTTTAAGTAAATGATCTATCTTGCTTTCTTTGGATCAGTGTTAAAAGTAATGCTGCCTATGTTTTAATATGAAGTAACTTCATCCCTGTGGATTTTAGGCACTGACCTTACATTCCCCACTGGTTTTATGCTATTATCCCAGGACCTAGGAGCAGTAACTTTTAAATTTTTTAAAACTTAATTTATATACTGCCTTTCTTCTCACAAGTGACTCAAAAGTAGCCCACAGCCAGTTAAAACAATGACAACAATCACAATTTAAAACACCACATTATAGAATTATAAAGAATAAACACCGAACAATATAAAGAGCCACTATCAAAAATACCGTCTGAATTATTTTAAGGTAGTATTCCTAATGCCTCTACAGGCCCAAATCAAAGGCCTGCCTAAAAAAGGAAGGCCCTTTCCCGCTATCAGAAGGAAAACAGGAAAGGGGCCAATCCGGCTTCCTAGGGTGCACTGCATTCTACAATTTGGGAGCTGCTTCTGAAAGGGACCTGCCTTTTATCCTCACCAAACGGTGGAGGGACCAAGAGAAGAGGCTCCCCAGAAGATATGAAAGGCCAGAGGGGTTCATATGGGATGGCAGATAGCTGGACCCAAAACACAGCTATTCAAATGAAGTTCCTACACGGGAGAGAGCAACTGTGGCCATTCAGCTCCTGCCAGCCCTCCCTGCTACAGCCAAGAGTGAGAGAACTTCCCTTCCCTTGCAGAGAAAGAATGCTTCCAGGCCAGCTTCCTCCAGTCTAGCTCACTGCAGATGTGACTGAGTACAGTTCCCACCATCCTGAGAAAAGCAAGGCTACAATGAAATCTAAAGGTCCCACCACTGATTCCCTTCTTTTGACCGTCCTGTGCATTCCTGCTGCTAAGGAAGCTATCATAAAACACTGGCTTCCCTCCACCGCTCCCCATTTGCTCTTCCTCCTCCATAACAAGAAGAGAACCTCACCGTCTCCATTGATAAGAGAGATCAGAAGTTTCAGGTAGTTCTGCGTCTGCTGCACAAGATCCCAGCTCTGTTGGGGAAGAGGAGAGACGACACGACATGATACCATACTTGCTGGAGTAATCTTTGTTCTCCTGCTCTAGCCTTCTTAGAAGCATTTTGTATTATCTGCTCACTTGCTCTAGCTTTCACATTTTGTGTTAGGTGCCTGTGAAAGGACAGAGACTGCTGTGTCACCTCTTTCTAAAGCACTTTCCGCAGGATTCTTCTTTGTCATTGAGGAATGTGGTATCTTGGCTTCAGAGACAACCTCCCACTCTCTCCACCTGAAAGTGCTCTATAAAGGTCAGTAACATCCACCTCCACAAGACTGCAAAGCCAGAGAAGGGGTCTTCAGGCATCCTAGATATTTATTCATTATTTATTTATTTATTGAACTTGTATCCCGCCCATCTAGACAGTGTCTACTCTGGGCAGCTCACATCAAATGGAATAAAAACATATAACAACCATTTCACAACAGGTAATAATGCAAATTAAGAACAAAAGGCTAGACAGACTAAGAGACAGCTATTGACATTTATGTCAGCTTAGAAATTTGTGAAATTTGCACTCCTGTAAAGTACCATTCTTTTTTAAAATAAGCATGTAGCACACAACGTATTTCTGCACAATGCTCACAAACCAGTCCAAGGAGGGCTTATATTTGCCAGGGATTACTGTCTTCACTGTTTTCCTTTAACATAAATCCTGCACCAGTCCTTTACTTGTTCAACAGCAAAGACTCATGTTTTGCAGGCCGAACACATCGATCGCTCATGCATCTTGACATTCATGCATTTATGATGTACTAGCAGCAGATGTGGCCCTACTTTATCCTTACAGGCAATCTGTAAGTTGAAACAGTGATATACCCAAAGACATCCAGCAATTCCCTTATGTCTGAACAGGGTTTCCAGCTCTTCCCTGCTCCCATTCGAGCCTTGGTGCCCCCATATGTAAGCCAAAGGTGGGGAATCTGCACCTCTGCAGCTGACGTCTGACTACAACTCCACCTTGGTTCCCTTTATCAGGAGAAAGGCAGCCTATAAATATACAAATAAATAAATACAACTCATGTTAACCGCCCAGAATAAGCACTGGGTTAGATGGGCGGTATAAAAATTGAATAAATAATACAACAATAATAATTCCCATCATTTGAAGCAATCATGGGAGGTGAAGTCCATCATCCTCTAGACGAGTGGTTCCCACCCTTGGGTAACCCAGAAGTTTAAGAAAAATAGTACTCAAGAAGAAATTGGAGAGGTGTAGAAGGGGAGAGAAATTCCATTTCTGACTCTGATTCAGAATTCAGAAATTCTGATTCAATTGGTAGGAGAATTTCATTCCACAGAGGCACAGGGTATGTTCACGACCCCTAAAGTTCAGAAAAATCACTCATAGACCAAGAGCAGAGCACATTCTGAGAGACTGATTAGACTAGAGCCTAAGAATATCCTGCTGGGTCCCGACCCATTTCTGCAAGGTCCCTGAAACACAGCCAATGACAGCTTCACAACAGAAACAGGGAACAGTCCATGCATCCAAGACCACAGGGGGGCAGGGAAAGGGAAAACTGCCCCCTTAGTACATTTCACCTGTAATTGGTGTGGCTGGGACCGAAGGTTCCCCCTAGGATCTTCACCACCCCACTGAACTACCTGCAGAATCTTAACCCACTTTCAACCACCAGAATGGGATTGGATTTAGTCTCCATCTCATCAACAGCAAAATCAGAGGGGGTGAAGGGCCCCAAAAACCAAAGGCAACATTAATTCTTTTTCTTGTAATCTAATCATGCCCTTGAGACTCACATCTATTTACATTCACACGCACATCCTGGGAGAATTCAAGATTTCCAGAAGACAGAAAGATGGGACCAACCCAATTCAGGCACGGAGTACCAGCCGCTTTAGCCAGAGAGAGCAAAGGCTTTTTTTTAAACTTCTCATCCCTGCCTTTCACACTGGACACCCTATTTTCTGAAGCCCAGGGAGAGGCATTTCAAGCAGTGCAATGATAGCCATATTAAAAAAAAACCAGAACTGGGCAATTACTGCAGAACACCCTGTCCCAAATGAACGTGGGTTTTTTTTAAAAAAAATTGTAACACAAGCAAAACAAGTTTAGGAATAAAAATGCAGAAAGTAGAAGATCCAGGCTGAGGCATCTGCCTCTTCGGTCTCCAGCTCTCTTCTCCCCTTTCTTCTAATTCAGACCTAAAGAACATTTGGCTCTCCAAAGGATCTGAGACTATAATTCTCATCATCTTTAACCACTGGTCTCGCTCACTAGGACTCCTAAGAGATAAAAGTCCAAAACTCATGGAGGGCTAAAAGTTCCCCATAGTTGATTTAATTGTCTTCAGAAGCCCTGAAAGCTTTCTTTGCGAGAGCTAAAATGATCAATTACGATGATATATCTATTCTAACAATAGGGCAAGAGGACATATTCTCATAACGGCCTGTTTTTCTGTTCTGCTGTATAAGTCTGAGCGACAGCCATGGTCTGATGGGGTCCTTTCAGCAAGGTGTCAACCACTGGACCTCTTCATGAGAGTAACAGTCGGCAGCAGCCTTCTGCCTAGCACCAGGCAGCTGTCCCCTTTAAATTTCCCACAATGCCCTATAGCAATCCTAGAACAGGAGAATCATGGGATTTCTGAATGCTAGGCAGCTGACACCCTTCATCCAAGCACCAGAACAAACGGGGTCTAGGACAGATGATTGCGGTACGTCCTGCTAAAGAGCCAGGACCCCATACTTTCTACTCATACTGTATGTGCCAATAGCAGGTTTGCTACTAGCCATCCATTTCCCACAAATCCTGTTTTCTTCTGTGCAATTCAACTTAAACAAAGGCATGTTCTCCTCAGGGGATATTTTTTAACACTCTGCGTACTTGAGTATTTTATTCTAATTCAATATCACCAACAATATCTAAGAGCAGACACACTGCAGGTATAGGCGAACTATTATTCCTCCCCCACCAAGCAGCACCTGGCTACTGAGGAATCAAAAGAAGGTGACTGACATGCCACGGCGAAGCTCTTTCAAGCAATCATGTGCTCAAAAATGCAATTAACAGCAAGGTACGCTTGGCAGGACTGAGGGGAAATTGCAGGGCCTCCGCATAACGCTGAACACTGCTGCTTTTTCATCAGTAGATTTTCAGTAGTGCACCGAGAGATACCACACTGGCTGTGTCGGATGTTACAGCATGCACACCAGAGGACACAGGGCAGCAAGCACGGAGAGATTTTCTGTTCCTGGACTTTCCTTTCTCCTGATCAAGAAGGGACACACAGAAATTGACGTATCAGAAGGAACTTGTTTCTGGATATTTTGCTAAGGAAGAAGCCCTTACGTAACCTGCTTCTTATTTTGGCCAGAGCTAGGAAAAATTACTTTTTGAACCAGGCTTCCCAAACCAGTGTTGGACAATGTTAACCTGGAGTATTCTGGGAGTTCCAGTTCAAAAAAAGTAGCTTTTTCAAGCTCTGATCTTGAAAATGCCACAACAGAGCTAGCGAAACAGAGGAGAGCAGGTTTTTTTTTTAAGTACCAGGACAGAAACAAAGGAATTTATTGCCTAAGGAGTTCCAGTCAAAAAAGGTGCATATGAAAAGGAGCAAATGCAGATGGCATTTTCAAAATTGCACAGTACACAAGAATAATGGAAGGAAGTATAGAATTAGATGCAATGCATTACTTTCGTTTTATCTGGTATTTCATAATGGCACAGAAAAACAGTATGTACGACTGGCAGAATCTTATGAAAGGAGTTCTCAAACCTGCCCCTCCAAAATGCAGTTCAGGAAGGAAAAAATACAGTTTGGAAGATATGTTACTGTGTAATTCACTAACCACCACTAACTTGGCAGTATCTGGCACAAGAATTTATTTTTTAAAAGTAACTTCCCAAGGTTTAGGTTGTCAAGCATTTTGCCAAGGCACCCAAGACCTTGCAAATCTTGAATTTATATCAACAGTACTACTGACTCTGAACCTCAGGAGTTCAACCTTCACATTCATGAATCCTTTTTACTAACTCTATTGCCGAACACTGATGAGAGCAAATGAATGTCCAGAATAAGTCATAACAGCTTGCCCTACATGGTTAAAAAAGTCTACTGGAAGAAAGCAAACTGCACAAAAACTCCATCTTACCTGATACTCACTCCAATCAATATTTAATGACTTGGTGAGAGAGACCGGAATGCTAAGAGGTGCATCTACATAATCCTATAAATAAAAAAGCACACAATATCTGTCATTAGAACAGTGTGACAAAGGCAGACTTAAGACTGTACTGAAAATAGAACGGTATGTTTTACTCCTTTGACTAAAACCGCAAATCAGCCAAGGGAATTGAGCTAAACAGCCAGATGCACATTCTTTGGAACTTCCTCCCAAGACTATCTGAAGCCTCAGTTCTTGTTTGACATAAACCCGTCCATTTGTGGGCTGGGGAACCAAAGAAAGAGCGAAAAAGGGACTTTGCTGCCAGTCTCCTTCTGTGACTTCAGTCTTCCTGCACTGAATTTCCTGAAGACTGGTAAACAATGGATGGCCATTAGAAGCCTGGGATACTAGGTTAGTATCTTCTAGCCTCTATTAACCATGCCAAGGAATGACAAAATATGTGTTATTTATGGATGGCAAGAGGTACTCCATACATTAGTGCAACACTTCACACACCTCCAAACTTTTCTTGTTTACAACATGCATGCAGTAAGAAAGCTTACAAAGCCAAGCCTGGGAGAAGCCCTTTCAACTACATGGCACTGGCTTTATGATGGAATGTTACTCTACTCCTGAGTGAGTCAGTCTGTGCAGCAATTTTTTTCTACAGCCTCCCAGACTAGAAGTAAAAGTGCCTTCAGGGAGCAAAGAAACTGGCCACCTCTACACAGGTTAATGGAACTGTTTGTCCACAAACAGCTTTTAAAACTTCCCCCCCCCATCAATCTGTGGATCCTGATTTCAGCCTTCAAGATGGTCAAAGACAACAGTGGACGACCGTGCTGCCTGCCAGCCTGGTAGTTCTGACGAAGTTCTACCTGCATAATCTCCTCCCTTCCCTCCTTGAACTAGATTACAGCTGTGTTCTTCTGGATGGGAGGCAGGGGAGGAAAATACTAATGGCAGTAGTCTTTTTAGAAGGATGTTCACAAAGGACTGTGTGTCTCATGGAGGGTGAGGAGAAGGAGGCGAAGAAGAAGCAAAGCTGAGGAATCCTGCAGATTCTTGGCCCTCTGGTGGTTGCAGGTGTGAGTGTGTGTGTGTTGGGGGGAGGGGAGGGACAATGTGCCTGCTTGGCACACTGTAGACAAAAGAGTGTTTACTTTAAAAAGAGAGGGGAGGGACAATGTGCCTGCTTGGCACATTGTAGACAAAAGAGTGTTTACTTAGAGAGAGAGAAGGGTTAGAGAGAATTATTGTACTGTATCTGTAAACATCTTCTGCCCTGAAAACTGTTCCTTAATCTCCAAAGTACAAGTCAGAGAAAGGAACTTGAACTCAGGCAAAGGTGAATTAAGCAGAGGACGTGACAAAGGTATATGAAGTTAAACATGATGTAGAAAAACCAAGCCATCGCTGCTCCACACATGAAATATCAGAACCCTAGGATTATCCATAGAAGTTGAACTGTGGGAGATTTAGGAAGTAATTTTCATGCAGAGGCCAAAATCCTGTTGCTTAACGTACAACAAATTGTAACCTGCAGTCTGCGATCCCCTGATAAACGAAGAGTCACCACCGTGACTTTTTGGGGCCCATGTACACACTTGCTTAGTGCCATTAGTACGTAGCCCCGATAATACACAGGGACTCTCTATTTACTGGAGAGGAACAGGCTGATGTTTTGATTTTTCTTATGTTATGCAACAGGATTCCAGCCAGTACACGGTGACTGTATTGAAATCAGCTACCACTAAGACGTAATGATGGCCGTCAACCTGGATGATTGAAACAGGGGACTGGACAAACCCAGGGAGACCAGGTTGTCTAAAGCTACTAGTGATGGCAGCTCAAAGATCAGCAGCAGGACACCTCTGAACTTGAGCAACTGGGAAACAGGGCTATGGTCCTCACATTCTCTTTTGTAGACCTCCAAGAAGCACGTGGCTGGCCCCTAAGGAGACAAAATGCTGGACTGGACACAACTTTAATTTGATGTAGCTAAGGCCTTACGCTACCTACAACTGTGTTTTTGTTTTGCTAGGGAAAATGCCATAAATAGCTGACTATGGCAGGATCTAACACCAAAGCAAGGAGGTGTAACACCACTCAACAGGGATAGAACTGGACTGAGGACTCACCCTCTACCAACATCAAATCAGGATTACATTTTTGGATCTGCCTCTTTCTCCCACTTGCAAGTTAATGAAACGTCCTTAGGATTCAAAAGCCGACCTTCCTGTGGCATTTTAGTGCTCCAGGAAAGTATTACCCAACCTTGTTCAGGTTTGAAGAAGTCTGTAATCTCCACATAGAGCAGAGTAAGACTTGAAGCTTTGCTCTCTAAAGTAGCAGATACAGTACTGATGGGTTGAATATTTTTCCTTGTTGCCCAGATGACATAAGGGCAATCCTGCAACGATCAGTGTATTTTCCTTTTCCAGGTGGTGAAGACCAGAAGGGATTGTGAAGAGCTCCAGAAGGATCTCTCCAAACTGGGAGGATGGGTGGTATCTGATTGTCTCCTGCGCTCCCAGAGGCCTCTGGTGGGGCCACTGTAAGATACAGGAAGCTGGACTAGATGGGCCTTTGGCCTGATTCAGCAGGGCTCTTTTTATGTTCTTATGTTCCACCTGTTTCACTTATTTTTGTGCTCTACAGTTGACTCTTGGCATGGAAAAAAAATAACTCTTAGGGTGGGCCCAGGGAGAGAAAAGAAATCAGCAAAGAGATTCTGGCTGGTAAGATGAATCATTAAATACCTGCTCCCCAAATTCAATCATAGAGAGCTTAGGCTCTGGAGGTCTACAAACAGAATGATGATCCACACATTTTATTAACTTAAAAAAATACATTCCAAACCAAACAGAGCCACAGCAGTTCTGCTTTACTGCCTGTGCCTCATACCTGCTTCCAGTTAAAAACAAGCCCTTCTGCCGTGTAATCCCGCTCTTTATACTCCTTGAAAAATTCACAGCCTGCAGGAAGAGAAGAAAAGACACAGGCAGAATGAGAGATGGAGATTTTCCAGAGTTGAAATACCAGCCATGTACCCTGTTGTAGCAGAGATGCCTCCCCGGGACAAGCAGCAGATTATAGCCAAAGCGAGGCTGCCATGAGGAGTTAGTGAGCACTCGGACCTGCCCATGGCAACAGCACCCTCTGGCACTCAAGCATCCAGAAGCCTGACAGGGAGCAAGCGGTGATGAGCTCTTCTCCCTTGGCCAGAGACAAGGCTTGCTGTCAGAAGCCCAAATTAGCTGAATGCTTAAGGGGCTGCATTCTCCATTCCTACCTAAACAAAGTCCAGGACGTAGCTTTCTGAACTGCCAGTATCTATTCCCCCAGGCTAGTTACAGAAAAGAAAAAGATCTTGAGGGTTTCTGGATAGGGTTGAGGCATTCCAGTGGAAGCCCTCAATTTTTCTAGTGGCATGAGCCATGATGGAGGCTGGAGAGTATTCGAGAGAGCCCTGCACGTATTCTAAAGCAGACACAGAGGCATGCCCATGTCCTCTGAATGTTTTGGATTATAATCCCCTACCATCAACCACAGCAACTAATGCTGATGGGATGTAGTCCAACACATTTGGAGGGTGCTGCATCTCCTATCCCAGTTTTAAAACAATTGCTCCAAGATCATTTGTATCTGCAAAAGAAATACTCATGCTTGCAGGCCAACAATGATTAGCATGTAGCTATATTACAGAGCATCTGAAACAGGGAATCAGGAACCACATACCTGGCCTTTTTTTTTCCTGCAACAGATTGGCCAGTTTTAAAACTATCTTTGGAGACTGAGGGTGGGAGTGTTCCTGACTCCCAAACTATAATATCATGCCATGGGCCTCAGCCATACCAAACCAGGAAAAGCAGGCTTGGGCCACTCGGGCCGACAGCTTAGCATCATTTTAATATGAAGTGAGTTCTCTCTTATACATACATGCATACTCAGGCACAGTCTCAAATGGTTCAGGAGTGGGAAGAAGATTTCTGCAAAAAGCCAGCCTTAACTACTCTGCAATTGGAAAACCATGTTATGGAAAGTGAAAATTCATCCATGGCCTGATGCAACTTTAATCGGAACATTCCCACTGTGGGCTCTTTTTCCATTAGAGGATCTATGTGCTGATTTCCCCTGCATGTAATGCTTCTGTTGCAACATCCCATAATGTTTCACAACTTTATGGACTTTCCAGGTCAGAATCTCCTAGACAGGATTTCTGCACAGTGCCTGGCTACTCTGGCTATGCCTTCGCTGTGGCGAGGAAGGCTTTGGCCATAGCAGGGGGGGGGGGGAGAGGGGGGAAAAAACACAGGGGTAGCCTGGCAGAGGAGCTGTGAAGCCAAGCCAAAAAGAGCATGAGGCAGAGGATCTCAGGATGCAACGTCCATTTTCAGCATCATCCACTTAGGATGGGAGGTTGGCTGTGCTCCCGCAAAGGGGAGGGAGGAAAAGGGGATGGAAAAGATTACAAGGAATCTCAGGCTGGAAAGAAGAAGGGGAAAAAACCCCACTGTCTGAGTCACTTATCTTGTGTGAATGAGGAGCCAGATCCTCTGGGAGTCCCCTCCAAAAATAAAACGTTATTTATTTACTACTTATTGATTGGCTACATTTCCATCCCACTTTACAGAGAATAACTGCCTCCCAAAATGGCTCATTTCAATAACAGAAAAACAGAGGCAGGCCCTGTTATAACACAAAAAGGAGCTAAAATGAAGAAAGAGAAGACCAGCACTTTAAAGAAAGGAGTATGCTATAAGCAGGCAGTAAAAGGCTGTTATTCCTGGTAGGTAGTTTTCCAAAGCCACCAGCATCCCTTGGATTGACCACACGCTTGCATTTTCTGCCCCATCCTCTACAGCGGGCATCCTCAACCTTTTTTTGGCCATGGACATAAATACAATATGAAATAAATATAGACTGAATCCCCCTCTCCCCCCTGTAGGGCCGAATAGCTGCTCTAGAGTATTTGTCTAGTGGAGCTGGCCATTCTCCCTGGCAGAGAAAGGAAAGGAAGCCCCTGGCAAGTGCTCCTTTTCCAGCCAATTGGGGGACTCCTCAATTAAACAAAACAAGAGTTGCCTCTGATGAGGAGTATGTTGTACTTAAAGTACACTGGGAGTGGCAGAAAAAACTGGACTGCATTTATGTAGATAAATAATACAGGTTTCTTCCTTGACATTTAGGGCCTGACTCCGTTTTATCATAGGGCTGAGGTGGGAAATGTTCACATCTATGTCCCTGAACTCATTGTGGCCCACTGCCTCCCACTGCTATACTTGATGCAGCAGCAGAGTGTATGATTATGTCTTTAAAAGAGTGTGTTGGAAGGTATGAAAACAGTCGGAGGTCATATATGGCCCACCGGCTGTCACTGAAGCAGGTAATCTTAGGTTATCACCTTCCCCTGCCTTTCTTTAGCCATGCCCAGATGCAAATGGCCCCTTCTCCCTCTGAATGCCCCCGGCCATACCTGGGTATGGGATAGAGAGGAGAGTGAAGTCGGCATAGCGCTGCGCTTTATCCACCTTTTCAGAAGATGTCACACTGAGGACAGAAGACAGAAGAACTCATTAAAATGGGTGCATAGTTTCTTGGCATTGCCTGGCATTGGTGGGTTGAGCTCATATCATCTACACTACACTCCTCCTGTTAAGACTTCCTGCAGTACATCTGGAGTGTTTTAAAAATTGAAAGCGCCTAAGTGCACATTCAATATTTCTTTAAACAGGAAGCGGGCTACTTTCGTTCCCCAGATGTTCCAACATGCAACTTCCACCAGTCCCACATAGCATGGTCCGAAGAGAAGGCCAGTGCATCCCCAGCTCTGTTCTCAAATAAGCAAGTTCTCTGGGCTCCATTATTCCAACTACACATTCCTACTTAAGATGAGAACAGGGCTTTGCCAGATCTCCTGTTATCCTTACTGCCTAATCAGGCTTGGTTACATTTCTTTAAAAGAGACAGTGAGTGGGATAGGAAGATTAGAAAGAATGCCCCGCTGAGTATCAAATGCCATAATCCAAGAATCTGCAAGTTTAATTTCACGTGGTTAAGTAGGTGGAATTAAACTTGCCTGTATTTGGAAGCAGGCTATTTGAAAAGCTTGTTCTAGTTAAACAATGTTTTTGCAACACAAAATTAGAGCCGATCTGAACATCTCACTGTATTGCAGTGATGGTGGTGTGTGTGATAGGTAGCTATGTTTTTAAACCAGCATGCCAGATGAAGGTTTAGGATAGCTTATTCCTTGTCATCCTACTTTCGTACAAGCAGGATGCAGCTCACTGAAGGAAGCCTTCAAAAATATAAATTTCACTCTTGCAGTTTCAAATGGTAGAATTCAGTACTACATAACTTTACTCTGTGTCATGTTTGGATGGCTTTCACAGTCCTCTCTTCAGAGAGTGTTGCATGAAATCAACCCTACTCAAAAAACAAAGAGAGGCAGCATTCCTATCTTTCTGCCGGCCTTCCCAAAGAGAATCCCAACATGTTGGAGAAAAGAAGTGGGAGGATGGCTCCCAAATATCCCACACTTAATGATAGCAGAATACAGAATCACAGACTCAGTATGAGGCCACTGAGTTCAACCCCTTGCTCAGTGCTGGAATATACATAAAAGCAGATCTGATACTACTAAAAGAACTAGGTTGCTACATTCTAAGCAGAATACAGAATCACAGACTCAGTATGCGGCCACTGAGTTCAATGCCTTGCTCAGTGCTGGAATATGCATAAAAGCAGATCTGATACTACTAAAAGGAACTAGGTTGCTACATTCTGGACAGCAGCTATAACTGATCTTCCCCAACAACAACAACAACAGAACCCAAAACTCTTTGTAGCAATATATTTGCATCCTATCCTTCACTCCACAAATGTCAGGGAAAGATACATGGTTCTCTTGTGCTTCTGGCTTCACAGCACTCTATGATATATAGTTGTTTGCCCATTAAGCTATACAGTAGTACAATGATTCCCAACCATGGGTCTCCAGATGTTCTTGGACTAAAACTCCCAGAAGCCTTCACCACTTGCTGTGCTGACCAGGATTTCTGGGAGCTGTAATCCAAGATAATTTGGGAACGCAAGGTTGGGGAAGACCTGATATAATGCTTTACAGCAGTGGTCCCCAACCTTTTTAACCCAGCGGAGTAGTTGGAGAAGGCAGAGCACCCCCCCGCACTCGTGCACATGCATGAAGGAGCGCACGGGTGGTTCGTGCACATGCGCGAAATAGTGGGCCAACCTTTTTAACCCAGCGGAGTAGTTGGGGAAGGCGGAGCACACCACCCGCACTTGTGCGCATGCACGAAGGAGCGCGCAGGTGGTTCGTGCACATGCACGAAATAGAGGAAGGGTGCTCATGTGGGCACTCGCTTGCTCATGCACATGTGCGAAGGGTGGCACAGCACTCATGTGGGTGCACTTGCACTCGTGCACATGCGTGAAGGGCAGTGCGCCGCTCAGGGGCACTTGTGCGCATGCACAAAGGGGTGGGGGAGCGCTTGCGCAGGCGCAAAGGGGCTGTGTGGGGGGAAGTGCGTACTGGGGTGGGGGAGAGGTGGGTCTCCACAGCCCAGACTGACACTGAGCCGTGGACCAGGGGTTGGGGACCTCTGCTTTACAGGAAACAAGGAATGTGCTGACCAGGATTTCTTGGAGCTATAATCCAAGATAATCTGCGGACCCAAGGGTGGGAAAAACTGATATAACGCTTTTCAGCAATGGTCCCCAACCTTTTTAACCCCGCAGACGAGTTGGGGAAGGCAGGGCACCTGCCGTGCTCATGCACATGCACAAAGGAGCACACGGGTGCACACGTGCTCGTGCAAATGCGCGAAAGAGCAGGAGGGTGCATGTGCGAAGGGCGGTACGGCACCTGTGCAGGTGCACTCACGCCTGTGCGCATGCACGAAGGGCAATGTGGCACTCGGGGCATGCACAAAGGAGGGGGGCACTTGCACAGGCACAAAGGGGCTGTGTAGGGGGGGAGTGAGTGCTGGGGTGGGGAGGAGGTCTGTCTCCGTGGCCCGGTCCAGCTCAGGCTATGGACCAGCACCGGGCCGCAGGAAACAAGGAATCTGAACCCAGATACAGTACTGTTTCTGGTCTAAATTTAACATTCTACCCTACCCTTTGTGAGCCCTGATTTCTCTTGATGTGCTAGGCTACAACTCCCATCATAACTAGACTGTATCATGTTGACTGAAAGGGAACACCACGGTAACCTGTGGACTGTAGTTGCTTTTAGCAGTTTACTTTAGCTGAGACACTGTTCAAAATGTGACAGCAGCCAATTTGAGTGCATAAAGCTAATAAATGTATCCAAACTTACTTCAGGCCGAACTTCACTTTCTTATTTTCCACCATCAAGTCGCAAATGTATGCAACAGACAGGTACCGCAAAAGCTTGATGTCATGACCTCGGACCTTGTCAAACAGCTGTGAGTCTGCATTTCTGAAATTCAGGAGAAGCAGATGAGGCTTTTCCGAAAGACAGACAGACAGACAGAACTGAAATGTTCTTCTAAAAACACATCACAGTATAAGCAAGTCTTGTATGTGACGGCAACCTCCTCCTCCTGCAGTCGTACAAAGGTCGTATATAGTGGCCAAGACCAAAGACACAAGCAATCAGCAAATCTCATTCATTTCAGTAAGGTCTCAAAAAAACACACAAAAGGGCCGATATAATCCAAAAATCCCTTTTGCCACAAAGTTACAGAAATCATGGTAAGCACATCTGGTTTAAAGGCTTAAATTGGTTCAGATGCCACTAACGGCCTCAACCAACCCCTTACTTTGGAAAGTAAAGATTGTTGAAAATGCCCAGGAATTGCTCATCATCTTCTCAAGTTAGTCTTGAGATGATTGGATAAGCCAAGATGAGACATTTAAACTACCACATTTGTAGTCACAAATTCTATTCTACACTACTTTGTGAGCTGAGAGTAAGCAAATTCTGAGGCATGACTTTAGTAACTGAATGATCTTAGGGCTACAATTAGCTTTGGGATATTACTTTTGCTAGTACATTTTAAAAAAAGAACACTATTTTGAAGTTTGTTTTTGATCTTAAATTATCTTTATAACTTTAAGTCTAAATTTATACTTGTTTAAGTCAACAAAAACCTTTCTCTTCAGGCAGGCTTTTCTTTAAATGGCTGGTTGACCAAGGAGATTTTTAAAGGGAGCATTTTATTCTGTGTTTTACTTGTACTTTTAATATTATTATTATGTGTTTCAATATAGTAGTTGTTTAATGCTTTTTATACTATAATAATAATTTTTTTTAACCCTTAACTTCATTTCTTTTAAAAGCTGTACGCTGCCTTGAATCCTTTGAGAGAAAGGCGGCACATAAATATTGTAAATTAAAAAATGAAAGAACAAACAAACAAACAAAGTTTGAACTTTCACTCTGGGATTTTAAGGCCATTTAAAAATTCTTTCTCATTTGGTTTTAGATTCAGCCGAAAACCGCTACTGAGTATCCTGAACAATGGGTTATAAATTACTAGGATTTAAAATGAAAAGTTAAAAAACAAAACAAAACACCAGAACACTATTTTGAACTTTGTTTTTGAGACAAACAAATGAGACAAACATTAGCTACAGGAGTGCAGGATTTTCACTCATAATCCATCTTCCATTTGAGGCCCCTGCTGCCTCTACCGCAGCCACCGATGTTCCCTCTAATTTTCAGCCCCACTGCAGGGTTCCGTAATGACTGGAACCAAAGGGGCTGAAAAAGACCCCTGTCCGTGCGCAGAGGAGGGAGGCTGTGCGGAGGGAGGGGGTCGAGTCGCGTGTGCACCTTAGAGGGAACCTTGACAGCCACCAACAATGCTTTCCTTCTCCGTATGAATAAAATATTAACAGTCAGTCTGGCCTGTCAACCACGTGATACCACCCACACAGCACTCAAAACCTTAGTCTCCGCACCTTTAACACTGCCACAGAGAAATTCATGAAGTGCAGTTCTAATTATGATTGCAAAGCTGTGCGGTAAAAAAAAAGGTGCCCATTCATTTCCCCACTGCCATGTCAGGAAGCCATCAGCACATTTGCCCTGTGTCCTTGCATGGGAGAAAACAGACCTGAAAGCAGAGTCTTCTTCTGACAGGTCCTCTGTATCTGCCCAGGCATCATCTGCGCCCCCTGCAGAGAAGCCATTTAAAAAACAGGAGGGAAAGCATGTTAGCAGTCAGAGCCTTTGCCATAATTAGTTGGTTTGACGAGAATGGCAACAATAACAAGTTTTTACAGATATTTACAGGACCTGACTCTTTCTTCTATGCACGATGGTTCCACGTTACTGAAATGTTGCTAGTCGGAAATTCATCTCATTCCTCACCACTTACAAATTCAGTTAGGACAGGTGGGAGCTGCAGCCGAACAACACTCTCTGCCAATTTATTTATTTATTTAATATACCGCCCATCTGGCAGACAAGGCCATTCAGGACAGTTTACAACAAGCAACATAAAACAACAAAGTAGCAAAATAGCAAATAACTATATACAGTGGTGCCTCGCATTACGATGTTAATTCATTCCAGCGAAATTGCTGTAGAACGAAAATATCGTAAAGCAATTTTTAAAAGCCCATAGAAACGCATTAAAACCCGATTAATGTGTTCCTATGGGCTTGAAACTCATCGTCCAGCGAAGATCCTCCATAGCGCAGCCATTTTCACTGCCCGTGCAGCGAGGAATCCGTACCAGAAAACAGCGGGCAGCCATTTTTTTACCTGGTGGCCATTTTGAAACTACCGATCAGCTGTGCGAAAATCGTCATTTTGCGATATCGGTTAGCGAAGCAGGGAACTGATCATCGCTAAGTGAAAAAAACCCATAGGAAACATCGTTTGCGATCGCAAAACTTCGTCGTTATGATTTTGCGATCGCTTCTGCGATCGCAAAAACTTCGTCATTATGAGATTTCGTCGTAAAAAGAAGCGCGCGTCTTGCGAGGCACCACTGTATATGCATCAAGCAAATCATGGTGTCCTCTTAAGGAAGCGCGCGTCTTGCGAGGCACCACTGTATATGCCATCAAGCAAATCATGGTGTCCTCTTAAATTCTAATCAATGCAATGAAGTGGAGAATTGGAGCAGCACACTCTTGAACAAGGTGGCTGATATATGCCAAGCTTCCTGTTCAGAAATAAAGCTTCCAGTGAGCACCAGGGCAGGAGCAGGAAGCTTGGGTGGTCTAGCTAAGCCTCAAAGCCTTCCAGTGCAGGTCTTTTCTTCCAGGTAAGTCACATTTAGGTGTATGTAAGATGTGTGTAGGTTACGTAGAATTCCTAAAATGGGAATTATGAGACTTGCTGTGCAAGATGTCTGAAAATCCCATCTCTGATTATAATTCAATTTTTGTCCATATCAAGCACCCAAGAATTGGAGATGCTGCTCCAATTATTCACTGCATTGATTAGAACCTGAGAAGACACCATGACTTGCTTGATAGCATATATATAGTAGTGAGATCAGAACTCTGCTCCCGCAAGCCCACATCTTCCATTAATAAACATTGACTTATTTTAGAATCTATGTTATCTATGATGCTTTCAGAAACTGTCCAAAATATTAGTGTATCTCAAGCATTATTTACACCCAATACACACAGCAAAAACACACACCAAATGATTGCCTGCTTCCCACACAACAAAGTGACTAGCATCAATCAAGATTGTGTATATTCTACTAACCAAGCGCAGAATTGCTGCACTTAGTCACGTTAAGAGACTTGCAGCTCTTCCTTCTTTTTTGTGGTTTAGAAAGCTTCCTCCACTGTGAAGAACTCTTGAAATGGTATCAGCAATCAGAGAATAAAAAATACAGATGTGATTATTTGTGTATGCATATATGTGGGGTCTGGGAGCAGGTCGGTTTCTAGCACAGACCACGGCAACAGCCTAGGCAAATGGTTCACTTTACATCTTTGCAGAATTCTGAAAAGGTGTAAAGGTATTGTGTTTTGAAGCCCAGGATCTCTAGACTACCACAGCTCCAGATCTCTACAAGTGAAGGCAGCCATGCTGAGTAGTTATATCCAGCATGAGCAGAGGTTGTGCAGCTCCAGTCCTCTGCTCATACCATTCCTCACGGAGGCTCTTTTTGTTTCAGCTAGTGTTATAAAACGACGTAACATACTGCAAACATCACAAAATGTCTCCTCCGTGCTGTCCCTTACCTGAGAAAATGTAGTTGTATCCTGTGCGCCCATAAAGCTCTCCCCATCCTGCCAGGGTAGCTGATCGGCATATATGCTGGAGAGGTGACAAAGAATAATCATCATAGCATAGAGAGGCAACAGTGCCCATTCCCCTCTAGGCCCTTCCCAAACCAAATCAAATCGCAGACTCATATTCCACCTTTTGAACTGTTGTTTGCATGGCGCACAAGCCAGGTTTTATCACTTCCCAACTGCCGTGTTAAGCATTAAGCTACATTTCCCTCTATGTATCTCTCCTTTCCCCCTCCACTACATATCATTATTTGCAATTCCTTTTCAACTAATACCAACAGAGTGTGTCATTAACATGCTCTTTGAACGTTCTCTGCCAAAACCCTTAATGAAGCGGATTAGGCTGGTCCCTGCAGGATGCTCTTCAATTCACCGAGTTCACTTTTTAAGAACATGACTTCTTTAGCCATGTTGAAATGAGTCTGGCAAGCTAAAGGACAGCTAATCTCCTCCTCTGGACTACCTTCCTTCTGCATAGTTGCATGCATATTAATGGAGTGGCTTCAGATGCCACCTGGAAGCAAAAAGGTGCCAAGATACTTTCACATCAAATTTTGAGAGGCTTGCTAGTAATGTCTGAAGCCGTACATTGAGAAACCCATGAACATTTTTGATGTATCTATGCCGCTTCTTGTGGTAATTATCACAGCACAACTTCCACTTTGAAACTTTATACTGTACAGCAGAAAGAGGGTGAGAACAACTGTACCAGGAAGCTCCAGCTTCCAACAACAGTCTGTTAGCCTACCACCTAGAACCAGGATATTCATGTGCGTGTACTTGCCATTGCTAATAATACCATATTTGCCGGCATACAAGACGACTTTTTGGGCCCAAAAACATGCCTCCAAGTGGGGGGG